TGTCGGCTCTGTTCTGCCGACCTCTGTCCTCTTCTCCTAGGGGTCCCCCGATAATAGGGCCATTATCAGAAAGCTTTCCTTTTCCATGGGTTTTTTTCCTTTCCCCCCTCTGTGACTGCTGAGGTTTGCCAGGCTGCTCCAGGGTGGAGGAGCCCCCCATATGAGCTCCAGGAGGCTGGGCGCTGTCACTCGATCCCCCCAAATAGCTTTTGGGAGTGGGGCCGGTCATCAGATTTGGGATTCACGTCATTTGTCTTCTGAGAATGGAAACGAACTTCCCCGAGAGAAGGCTTTCAAAGCTGTCTCTGGGCCTCGAGCTCAGGGCACAGCCCACATCTGACCAACGGGCGTAAGATCTCACAGTTCGTTAATCACATCTGGATGGAAATGATACTTAAACTCTTTCCCCGTCCCATCCTGCCTGGGGAAAACACACTTCACTTACAGTGTTGGGAAGACAGACTTTCTCCGCAGATTTGGGTCCGAGACCCTGTTCCAAATCAGCCTCCGTGTCTTTCCTTCCTGCAGCTACTGGGGGCTGGTGTGGGAAGCTTCCACTTCCCCACTCCTCTTGTCAGAGTGTGTTCTGGCCTCTTGGTGGACTTCGGAGTTCCTGGCGTTCTCAGACCTCTCCCGGAGGGATGGCTCTTACGGCAAACCATTTATTCACGTGTCCGTCCAGTCATTCATTCATGTGACCACCCTGCTCCTGAGTTCTTGTGCCCAGCTGGGCTTTGGGGACTGAGTGACACATCAGGGTGCTCTCTGTCCTCATGGCCCCAAATCCTGTGCACCTGATCTATCTGGGCTCAATGAACGGAGGCCTTGGGAGACCCCTTCCTGGGCCTGAGGACGGCCGTCTGTGGGGAGCTCTGGACCTCGAGAACTTCCAAGGCAGCTGGGAGAAGGTGGAATCTTTCTCTACTTGTAAACATGCCAACTGCGTCTACTTTTTTTTTTAAACGTCTGGGAAGGGAAAAACACCATTGGGGGTTATTTTGCCAGACAAACACCTTGTGGGGTCTCCTTGGGTGTGGAAGGGGTACTGCCCGCCTGCCCACCCTGCCTCTGCGGTCTGATGGAAGGGAAGAAGCCAAGGGAGGATCTGTTGCTGGTGTGAGTCCTGGGAGTTTGGGAGCATCCTTCCTGTGACTTGAGTGACTGAGGGTGGGTGGCCTGTCTTAAGGGGTCAAAAGGTGGTAGGCTTCAGGGAGGGGGGCAGTGTGGCATGTGGGGGGACTCTGCTTCCACAAGAGGCTGGCCGGGGTTTCCTAGGGGTCCACCCTGGGGAAGGGGCAGGTCCAGGACTGGCCATAGAAGACAGGTCTGCTATCAGCTCCAGAAGGTTACACTGTGTCACCTGGAGAGGAGGGCCCGGGGGCTGGTGGGGAACATGCCTGGGGGTGGACACACTTGGAGGCTGCTACACCTGGAGGTGGGCACAACTGGAGGATGTGTCTGGAGGCTGCCCAGGGGCAGGCCACCATGCCCCTCTCACTTTGGGAACAGCGCAGGTGGTGCCTTTCCTGACTTTGTTCTTTTCTGGAAAACAGGAGCAGCCAGGGAGGCTGCCTGGCGGCAGTGTAGGGGGGAAAGGCTTGGTGGGCCTCCGAGCCTGGCACCCAGACCCCTCAGGCAAGATGGGAAGCCCTGACCTCGGCCAAGCCCTGACCAGCTCCTCTCGCTCCCTTCCCGGGTCCCCGCCCTCAATGAAGCTCGCAGGCCCGAGGCTTAGAAAAGCACACAGATTTATTGCATATCAATCTCATGTATAAATTCATTGTAGCATTGGAAAGATTACATTTGGTATACAGTCCTATTCTACAGCATTAACCTCAGATCGGCGTCTCCTAGGCTTCAGTTTAAAGAACTCTCTCTACACAAGGACATCTGTCTTCATCACAAGCATCAAATGAACTCTGTGAAACTGCTCTTTGAAGGGTCTCCTACACGTTCCGTCTCCTAATTTCATCATCCTCCCACCTCGATTTCCACGTTGATTAGGCGCTACGCCCTGTGGCGGCGGCCGTTCAGGACTCCAAGTCTTGAACGGAGATCCCAATCCCATGTCCAGTAAGTGCATCTACGGAATCCTCCTCTTAATAAAAATTTCACGAACAGACACGATAGTGACCGCTACGCACGAGTCATGCACAGTTTACTTATAAACAGAACAGAAGCCATTTACAGTCAGGGGGACCTGGGCGAGCACCAGCCTCCTTCTCAATGGTTTTTTTTTTTTTTAAACATTATTAGAAAACCAGACATTTACATTTGATTTCTCTTTCAACACTATACAGTTCTAAAAGAAAAGAAAACAAAACCAAACCAAAAAGCTGAACCCAGTCTGTAATGTAACAATGGCAAAGGTGGCATGGTGTACACGGGCTCGTGATTCTCACAAGCATCCTATATATACTTCAAGTCACAAAGTATATATACACATACACACACACACACACACACACACACACACACACACACACACACACACACACATACTTTAAATTACACGTTCCGACACCAGGGCTCAGCCTCCCTCCAGCGGAAGAGCAGGGACGCCAGCTACACGAAAGTGGATCGTCAGGATGACTTTTGTTCAGGAGTGAATTGCACATTTGGAAACTCAAGCTGCCTTGTTTTTCATTTCATTTCATTTTTCCAAAAGTGGTGATATGAATCAGTGACAGAAAAGAATAAAACAAACAGAAAAATGGAATGGAAGGAGAAAAGGAACTCTTCTCGGAAGAACGCAAGAATGTCTTAGTCACAGTATCACTCATGGCTACGGACACAGTTTCATGGCTTTGATACCCGGCTGACCTCCACTGACCAGGGCAGCTGTGTCCTGGCATCCCAGGCCGGGAGGGGGTGCCGTCCCCGGCTCCCTGCCCCCAGGCCACAGTGCAGGGGTGAGTTCTCCTCTCCTTCCCCTAGGACAGCACAGTGAATGTAGCTCAGTAGGTTTCAGTCACGTGGGCAGGGGATGGGGTCTGGGGGACA